CCACAAGGACCCATATGAGTATTTTCTGCTCTGACACCCTTGTGATTAAGATGTGGCTATGTTTAGAGAAGTAATACTACTTGGTCGGGGTCAGATCACCTTCATGGTTAAATGAACTGCAATACTTTTCTGCAGAGGGCAATTTGGCAAGCCATTACAATGAAGCTTGTTCATCACCAAAATGGTTCCCATGCTCCCCAAAAACTTTTTTTTTTGTTATCTCTCAGATTGGATTGTTTCTACAAGGATTAGCTTGTGCATAAGCGTGACTTTTTTAAATATTAGTTTATTTTAAAGTAGCTTTTCTCACAGTATGTTTAAAATAAAAGTAAGACTTCGACAAACATAAAAACAATTTGATCAGATTTTACTTGCAGCGTGAAATTGCAAATCGTCTTCTTATAATTTGCATTTCCTGTGACTTATGGAATTAATATCAGATGTTTATTGCAATATCCCTTAATGTTACCCTTTGGTTAGGAAGAAATAAGTGGTTAAGTTTTACACGGAGATTTATGCAACCAAGCACATGTTTCTCTTGGTAGCAGATGGCAGTCTTATTTGCACAGTAACAAATCACTCATATTGCCATTGACACTAATGGCTGTGGAATTGAGTGGGGACACTGGGGCAGCAATGCAGTCTTACATCCATGTCCAATCAGTGCGAAGCAACACAACCTGTCACAATAATTATGACAGAACTATTGAGACAATTTTTTGGCGACAGTCTCACCGTCCCACAAGTGTTCCCCTTGATTGGCCTTGGTAGCTTGCAAAGTCATTGTCATTTCTCACAACTTCATTACTTGGTGGCACAAAGCAATTTCCATCGTCTTTGCTTCTCCTACTTTGTTGCCCCTAAAGGGAGCTCACACCGTGTACGCATGGCAACACCTTGTCGGAGAGACAAGGTGATGTCTTCCGAGTGTCTTTCAGAGTTATCCCTTATTTTAATGGTAACGCTTTTATTCGTATTCTAATGATTTACCCATCATTGATGCTTATTGCTGATTGAATTCAGGTGTGTGTAATGTCTCCTCACTGTGGCCCCTTATGGGATGCACTTAGAAAGGCTTGGAGCTTGCTGTGCTGTTGCCCATAAGGCTCATTGCATTTATAATCTTGCACTTTAAATTCTTGGTAATGTTTACGCTTACCTGAGGAGCTGACCACATCTTCAAGCAGGCTAATGAGTTGGCTGCTGTTTGTGGCTCATCCCATTCTTATAGTCTATTTACTCACACACTGTCCTTATGTAAATGCATTTACAGAACAAAGTCAATATCACATAATGTAAATATTATAATAGGTTTTGTGTCAATATATGTGAACAAAAAGGTATGCGTTTGCAAGAAAATCTACTTAAAAGTTATGAAAAGGTAAAATATTAACTATGCAGTGTTTTATCTTTAGTCACTTTAAAAAATGTAATAACTTTAAGCCTAAAGTACATTATTTTTTAGTATAATAGGCACTCATATTTATCAGTTTGGGACTTTAATTAAGTTTTTTTTTTTCTGCTTAAAGGATCTGAATTCGTCCTCCACGACTCCAAAACACACACAGCGACTCGCACGCAAAGCACATGCTCTCCATGCGGTGTTATCGTTGCACTTAAACATCAGATGAGTAGATTAGTGTTTTAATCTTGCTCTGGATCTGAGTCATCTCACTTCCAAGTTCTCCCCTCAGCCTGCTGTGAAATATTTTATCTACTCAACTGTAAATAAGTGCTAACAAGATTATCAGATTACCCTTCATCCAGGGCACCCGGCGACTGCTGGGCACAGTAACAGCGATGATGTAAAAAAAATCCCACTAAGATAATTGTGTTAGGAGGCACCATTTTAATGCAAATTTTCCAAAGGCTCACAAAGCTTTAGGGCAGCTTAAAGCACTTTTCCCATTTGCAGTATTAACTGTATTTCTTCTGTTGCCACAAAAAAGCCACATCGAATATAAAGGACGTAGTTGAAACTGGACTGTGGTTGAAAAAAAAAAATCCCAGTGTTTTCTCTCTATATGTTGAGAAACTGGGCCAAGTGTAATTGAATTGACAGAAGTAAGTTATTCTGACAATTTAAAAAAAAAGATATATTATTTAATATTTGTATAAATAATGAAATCCTTTTTACAAGTTGGGGAAAAAACTGCATGTTGATGTTGCAGATGGTGCAGGGACTATATTTTCATTATCCTCCTCTATGATGTTGCCATCATTTATACCACAGCAGTGAAACAAGGAATTTATCAAGCACAGATACTTCAAAGTCATGCTGTCAACTGGTTGCTGTTTTACAATTGTGGTTTAAACTGGATTTCATGTTGCTGCTCAGGTACAGCGACTAGGCCACTATGAGCCAAAAGAGAAAACAAAAAGGATGAGCTCTCTCTCTCTCTCACTACCCAAAACATATTTATATGCAAATTAGCTTGTGAAACAAAAATGATTCAAATGCTTGATAGGATAATGTATTTAATCTGTGGGATTTGAGTCGTTGATGAGGGAGAGGGCACGGGATATTTCTGAAGAAACACAGGGATGTGGGGGGGAGTAGAATCGGAAAAGTGTCTCATCCCTGTCTCAGTCGCAGTCGATTGGTGAATTGCATGTAGCAGTCAGACTTTGTGAATTTATGTGTGATACGGATTTTTATGAAGTGCAAGTAGTGAAGGCAAGGGAAGAAAACAGGCTGAGATCTAAAGATGAGAGCACTGTCACTGGAGACTGCTCTTCAAGGTCTGTAAATAGATGGCAATATATATATAAATACATATATATATATAGTGTGATATGTATTGGATCCTGAAAATCATAAAGTGTACATTTGGAAGCAGAAAGTCTGTGGAATTTTACAGGATGTTCTCTCCAAACCAAACACTGTGATTGGCATTTAGTTGGTCCTGTTTCTGTGTCCAAGTGTGGTGACGGCACCTGCCTATTCCTTCTGTTTGTCTGCTAGTGTCTTGTCCGGTTTTCTCTCCGTCTGCTTCATCTGTATCTGTCTCTCTGTTTTCTTGGTGTTTGTTGCTCTGCATCCTTGGCAGCATCTTAGGATTTCTCCTCAGCCTGTTCACTCTCAGTCTGCTCTAATGTTTCTTTTAGAAAAAAAAAACTTCCTCGAGCTCAGTTTGTGAATCAGAAAATGTAGAAATTAAATTACGAAACTGCCCTTCGGAAAGTGTTCCATAAGGCATTATAGTAGGCTCCTATAACAGTACACTGAACGGTGTACAGTATGTCACTTTAAAAAACAAAGAAACAACGTAATAAATATATGAATTATTTATAAATATGTCGATTAGTAGCATTTTACTTTACACCACTATTCATTTTTAAATGGGCTATAAGATATAGTAATGTAGCTGTAAGCATATTCTAACTGATTATTAATATATTTTTAACATCTACAAGTCCTCATTAAGGCACCGTGAGTGTGGTGTGTGACTGTGGTGCGTGAGTAGAAAATAGCAAAACACTCACACACAGATTTATTTATATATATGTGTGTGTTCCAGCTCTCCAGTAGTAATATCCTCCTAATTCTGTCTATAACGCAGTAATGTCCTATATTTTTAACGGTTTCAAATGTAACACTCTGGTTTCCCATGCATGTCAGCTTTCTAATGTGTTGTCAAATGAACCTTGTTCCTGAAAAATTCCCATATGTTCGCTACACTCCCAGAGAGATATAAACAATTTACAAGAACACATACCAGCGGATGACACGCAGCGCTACAACTGACAGCTAGCAACCCGGTTTAATGGCCTTCTTACAAGACATCGCGTGATGTCACTGGCAGATTGCATATGTCAAAGATGGTTCATTTGATCCTTGTCGCTTGGTGCCGAGCAGCAGTGGAAGCAAATACATTAATAGCGCTCATCTCTGCCTTCTGCTTCTCTGTCTCTCTCTCTCTCTGCCTTTTTTCTAACATTGCTCTTGTCTTTTTTCCCCCCAATCTCTCAGACTCACGCTTTCACACACAGGTGGTCTGGTCATGGTATGAGTGAAATCAAAGACAAGCTGAAATGTTAAAAACAGACGCAGGCTGTATGCAGTGTCATTACAAAGCCTCAGATGTTACCACGGAGCTACAGTAGTGCACTAATGCGTTCTTCTCTTTTCATTTTTATCTTCTTTTATTTGTGCTTTATTTTTGTCACAGGCTTTGTGCCGTCTGTCTTTGCTTTTTATTTCTTTATTTTGTCTGACAGTATCAAAATTAACAGAAGTTTAAGTAGCACTAAAGTGATACATTAGTGAAAAAAAATGAATAAAAATGCAGTGATTTTGTGGACTTTAAATTAAAGTCCACATAATTTTCCACATATTTATATTGTTAATATATATTGAATATCTGCTAAACCAAAGTGCTGCTGAATTAATTTTTATTGCTTAAATGTAAGAAGACGTCCCTTTTTGGCTTAGTTAGCTTTACTTTTAACTATCCTGCTTTGCTGACCCATCGGAAACCATCCCCCCCCCACACACACACAGACATACACACACACACACTAGAAGTCTCCAGTGTGTGCTGTTCAAAATCTAAAGTCAACCATGAATACAGAGGCTGACAGGCCAATTATCAGATGTACTCCCCGTTCTGCATCCCCACCTCTGAGGGGAAGCAGATGTGAGAATCCTGTCACTTTTACTCAAGCCAGCACAGTTACATGGCCCAACAACAAAAGGCACAGCCTTCACAATAAATGGAGATGGACAGAGATGTAAACCTTGTCATGCAGTTTCATCTGGTGGATTTCCACATTTCAAGCTTCAGAAGATGCAATAGAGTGTAGTGTCCGTCCGACTTCCATCCCCTCTATAGTTTCATATAAAACAGCATTTTTGACGTCTGATGCTTTGGCATGCACTGGTGCTGGTAGAATCCTCTTGGAAAATTTTGACTACCATCAAACATTTCAACTTCTATTAGAAATAATCACAATTTCAATCCCTGACATAACTGAAAAAGCATCTCTTTGCTTTGCAGGTGAATGTAGCTCCAGCATGTGTTAAAGCCTTGACCAGGATGCTGTACTGTCCATACTGTCGTGGAATGCCTGGGCTCAAATCCTGTCCCAACTACTGTCACAACGTAATGAGAGGCTGTCTAGCAAACCAGGCAGACCTAGATTCTGAATGGAACCTCTTCATTGGTAAGATTTGAATCGAGTGCCCTTGCACCTGTTTTTCGTTTTCTCTTTCTTTGTAGGTTCGTCGACATGTGTTCAAATTTGAGCTTGTACTTCTAAGGCTGCATGTTTCTTTTCTAAGGCAGTGCCTTTGAATAGTCTCGATGGGAATTCAGTAGGATGCGCTGTGATAGATTCAGCTTTAAAGGATTTTAAAGAGACAAAACTGAAATCTTATTTGTGAAACCATTTCTTCTTTTTCTGTCTGAAATGTTGTTTGCTATTGCTGGAACCCTGGCATAGTGCTTAAAGCTCTAGTCCCTGCTGTTTGGGATTGATAAAGGAGAGTAGATCCTAGGCAAACACATTTTCTATAGTGTTTCCAGCTGAGCATGGTGAGTAATATAGCACTTCAGTTTGGCTGTAAGCAGCCGGCTGCTGTAAGCCCTCCTGTTAAATGGATACCAAGAAGGCATATAGAGTGTTCCCTCTGGATCTTTTGTAGGCCAGTGCTTTATTTGTTATGTACCCCAATCCCATCCTCCCACCCACACTAACAGATTTTTTTTTTTTTTTTTTTAAATGGGGCACCATTTTTTAAGAGACATCCCCAAAGACTGTGTGTCAAGTGAACTGCACTTCTAAGCTTTTCGCTGTTTTGTGACAAGCCTGTCATTTGAGAAACCATGAGATGACGTACCGTTTGTTCTCTCCAATGGCACGTCTGAAGTCTCAGATCAACATGGGCCCCCATGCACTGAATGAGATGTCTCACAGCTTTATGACATGTGTTAAAAAGTTAGTGTCTTGTTTGGTTGTGAAGAGGAAAATCTATTGTCGCAAAGGGATGATGTGCTTGACAGTAATGGGAAAAGCTGTTGTTGCAACAGAATGATGAATCTAGTTAGACCCAAACACCCTTGGGGTGTCAGAAAAAGTGTATTTTTTTTTTTATTCTAAATCACTTTTTTTGTGCAGACATGGGTTTTGCTTTGGAAAGCCAGTGTGTTTCATTGTATTATAATTAGAAATGCAGAACCCAGGGGATGTTTATTTTTTGCTACAAAAGATTTGTTTTTGATGTCTGGTGACATTTTGTATTTGTTATCTGTTGCTAAAGTACTGTACTTCAATTTGCTTACCATGCAGCTCACAAGAAATATTGATCTGCCTTTCAGAGACAACTTCTAAATGTATCACAGGTCAGTTCTCACCACTGAAGCATAACTTTACATTATAGAAATTTATGGATTGAACCCCTACACAATCTGTCATTGTCCTCCTTTCAAATCATCAACTATTAAGGGAGGTTAGATTAAAAGCCTCGAGAACCCCCAGTGGCATTTACCTGTGGACTTTGCTCATGTTTAAATGTCACTATTGATACCATTGATGGTATCAGTAGTTGTATGACCACAGGAGAAGCTCCAGGCTGTTTTATTATTCCACAGCAAGAAAAAGAGGAGAAAAAAAGCATGTATAAAGTGCTGTTTCTTTATTTCATTAAAATCAAACTTATAAA